CTCTCATGCTCTCTATGACTTTACTATAATCTATACTTATTATCGCTGTACAGTTGCGCCTACCAAACCTGTGATGTTTTGTGGGGTTCCCTCTTACCCTTAACCCCACAACTATGGTAAGATTTTTTTGGTTTGATGATGCCTTATACCTGATCCCTTCGACACCCTCATGATCGCACAGGCTGGTGTGCTTCTTCCATGTGGGCTGTGTTGCTTCTGAGCTAGATGGCGGCTTGTTTACCTTGACCAGAACTTTCAGTATGGATTATACCTCAACATAAAGAAAATAAAATTCAACATAATTGGATCAATAAACAATATCTGATAAACAGAGAAAATATCCCAGTTGCCAAGGATTTCACCTTACTTGGGTCAATAATCAATGCCCTTGGGAGCAGTAGTCGGGGAAATCTATTGGCCTGTTTGGGTTTGCCTGTTCTTGTCTTTTTATATAAATGAGGTTATACAGTATATATTCTCTTATGATTAATTTACTTCGCTCAACACAATGTCATCAGTTATGCTGAGTGGAATAAATCAGTCACGAAAGGATATATACTATATAACCTCATTTATATAAAAAGACAAGAAGCTCTGGTGTCACCAAGGAGCCCTGGTGGTAGTGGCTATGCATTGGACTGCGACCTGCAAGATTCACAGTTGGAAACTACCAGGCACTCCTCCGGAAAAAGAGGGTTTTCTACTCCCATAAAGAGTTACAGTCTCGGAAACTCACAGTGGCAGTTCTACCCTTCCCTACCAGGTCGCTATGAGTCAGAATTGGCACGATGGCAGTGAATGTCATCAAATTCCATCTATGTTGCCGCCTATGTCAAGGCTTCATTTCCCTTTCTGGCTCAGCCGAATTCCACTGTATGCATGTACCACATTTTGTTTATCCATTCATGCACTAATAGGCATTTGCTGTCACCTTTTGTCTATTGTGAGTACTGTTGCAATGACTATTGGTGTACACACGCCTGCTCATGTCACTGCTTTTCCGGCCCTAGGTGTATCCCTGGACGTGGAATTACTGGGTCAGAGGGTCGTTCTATTTTCATGGCTTTTTGGAGGAACCACCACACTGTTTTCCACAACCAGCAGATCAGGTTTCGTTGTCCTGAAATCTTAGCCAACATTTGTCAGTACTTTTAAAATCTTAGCTACCCTTGTTTGAGTGTGATGTTATAATCACTGGTTTCTATTTGCTACTGTCTTCTGGCTCATGATGTTGAGCATTTTTTCATCTTTGGTGGTCATTTGAATATCCTCTTTGGGGAGATATCTATTCACTTTCTTTACCAAGTTATTATTGGGTCTTTTATTATTAAGGTTTCAAAGTTTTAAATATCGTTACTAGATTCTTACTGGATATGTGGTTTCTGAAGATATTTTTTCCAGTTGGTGGTTATATGTAGATCCTTGTGATCGGCTCCCCCTTTCTACCCTACCTTCCCCTTCCCCTCCTGGTATTTCTATTCTCATTATTGGTCCTGAGGGGTTTACCTGTCCTGGGGTCCCTGTGTTTCCAGTTTCTATCTGTACCCGTGTACATCCACTGGTCTAGTTGGATTTGTAAGGTAGAATTGGGGTCATGATAGTGGGTGAGGGGGGAGGAAGCATTAAAGAACTCCTCCCTCATGAGCCCTTGATAATTTATAAATTTTTATTTTGTCATATCTTGCACTGTCCGGCGTCTCCCTTCACCCATTTTTCTGTTGTCCATCCCCCAGGGAGGTGGTTATATGTAGATCCTTGTAATCAGTTCCCCCTTTCTACCCCACCCTCCCTCCACCCTCCCGGTATCACTACTCACACCACTGGTCCTGAAGGGATCATCTGCCCTGGATTCCCTGTGTTTCCAGTTCCTATTGTATCAGTGTACATCCTCTGGTCTAGTCAGACTTGCAAGGTAGAATTTGCATCATGATAATGGGGGGTAAGGGGGAAGCATTTAGGAACTAGAGGAAAGTTGTATTTTTCATCGTTGCTACATTGCACCTTGACTGGCTCGTCTCCTCCCTGAGACCCCTCTGCAAGGGGCTCTCCAGTGGCCTACAAATGGGCTTTGGGTCTCCACTCTGCACAACCCCCTCATTCACTATGGTGTGGGGAACAGAAGGAATTCTCTTAAGTTGTCTCCCCAAAATATGTACCAAACTTAGCTGCTTAAGAGTGACTGTGGGCAAAAGTAGGTCAGAGGTTATCCTCCTTAACATTGGCCATCTGTAGTGGCTAGACTATTAGTCTGACTCACC